TTGGAGTATGAGTCAACCAGTATCAGATATGTGGTACCATCTAGGGGTCCGGTGAAGTCAATATGCACTCGCGACCAGGGTTTTTCTGACTTCGGCCAGGGCACTGGAGGCAACTTAGGAGGATTTTTCGCAGCTTTTTGGCAATGTGAACATCTTTTGACGAAGTCGACAATCTGCTTGTCCATATTTGGCCAATATGCATAGCTTCGAGCGATGGATTTCATACGGTTTATCCCTGGGTGTCCAGAGTGGAATTGGCGTAGGACTTTGGAACGTAGGGTTGTTGGAATTACTACGCGATCACCGAACATCAGACAATCGTTAACAACACAGAGAGCGCTGCGGCGATTCGCTAGTTGTTGCATATCACCACTCAGCTGCTTAACTGGCCATCTGCTCTGAACATAGGTGATCGCTTCTTGGATAATCGGGTCTTCTCTGTTAGCTTCCCGAACATCTTCAGCGGTAACAGGCATTGCTCGAACGGCGTTCGCCAATAGTGTAGCATCAGAATCCTCTTCGGTTGATACTATGGCTATGAGTGTGTCCTCATCAGTGGTAGAATGGTTACTGATAAGTCTGGACAGTGCATCCGCTTGACCAAAATCTTCGGAACGTCGATACTGGATGTCGAAGTCGTAACCCAATAACGCCAACGCCCAACGTTGAAGACGATTAGCAGAATGGGCAGGAATGCCTTTCTTTGATCCAAAGATTGATAACAAAGGTTTGTGGTCTGTGAGCAAGGTGAAACGGCGCCCATAAATGAATTTGTGGAATCGCCGGACAGCAAAAATTAGGGCTAACGCTTCCTTCTCTATCTGACCGTAGCGTTTCTCAGCAGGTGTTAATGTTCTCGAAGCGTGCATCACCGCTTTCTCTGACCCGTCGGGAAAGACATGTGAGATTACGGCACCCAGTCCATGTGTTGAAGCGTCAGCAGCAACCACAATGGGTAGTTTCGGATTGTAGTGGGTTAGCAGAAGATTGGAACTTAGCATAGCTTTAAGTTTTGAAAAGGCTGACTCACATTGCGTTGACCAATTCCAAGTAGCATTCTTTTCTAGCAGACGATTTAATGGATATCGTACGTCATGCAGTGATGGAAGAAATGCTGAATAGTAGCTAATCATCCCCAAAAATGATCGGAGTGAGGAGACATCAGTGGGAGCAGGCATTTGTTGGATTGCGTAAGTATTTTGAGGATCAGGGTGTCGTCCGGAAGCATCAAAGATAAACCCCAGGTACTTAACGAACCGTAGAAGAATTGGCATTTTTCTGGGCGAAGGCGAAAACCATTATCCTGGAGGCGTTGCAGAACTAAATGGGTTCTGGTATGCAATTCATCAGCAGTTGAGCCGACAATGAGCACATCGTCAAGGTAAGTAGCAACACCAGGAACATCTGCCAGAATAGTGTCCATGATCTGCTGGAAGATCGCTGGAGCAGTTTTGATACCGAAGGGTAACCGGGTATACTGAAAAAGTCCTCGGTGAGTGTTGATTGTCAACAACTCTCTGGATTCTAGAGCGACTGGAATTTGAAGGTAAGCATCTGCCAGATCCAGCTTAGCAAAGTAGGTACCACCATTTAAAATAGTAAATAAGTCATCTGGGATCGGCAGCGGATAGTGATGCTGTTGTAGAGCCGCGTTGAGTCCCGTGGAAAAGTCTGCACAGATGCGTATGGAACCATTGGATTTTTTTACAACCACAATTGGTGCAGCCCATGATGAATAAGAAACAGGTACTAGGACACCTTCAGTTTCCAAACGTTGAAGTTCAGCGTCAACCAGAGGTAAAGATGCGTATGGGACTGGACGCTTCGGGCGAAAAACTGGCGTAGCTTCTGGCTGCAGTTTTAAAACAGCTTCAGTTGTGGAACAAAGTCCGAGACCAGGCTTAAATAGTTCAATAAATCGTTTTCGAAGGTCTTCAGCACGCTGTTGTGTAGAAGCAGTAGTTTGGACTTGATTGCAGATAGCGCTAATAGGAAGATCAGCGAGACCAAGTTCTTCGAACCAATCTAAACCTAAAAGGTTGAGCGGAGAATTGGTGATGTAGCATGTCCCATTGAAGGTTGTACCTCTGAATGAAATACAGCAATAGAGTTCACCATGAAGGCGGAGATGACCCCCGCAGGCACTGACGGCTGTTTGAGAGGATGGTTTGATGGCAGGTTGACCCAAGGTTCGCCAAGTCTTCTTTGACAGAATGGTGATGTCTGATGCAGTGTCCAACTGCAAACGAACAGGCTGACCATTGATTGAGAGGGTCAGAAATTTGCGTCGAGTCGCGGCATGAGTATGGAAGACTGCTGCTAAACTCCTTGATGAGGTAATCGGCTTTTTGTGAAAACGACGCTGCGTCTGTGCATTTCGACGGTTATTGAATCGGTTGGATTTGCAAAAGCCGCTTTTGTGACCAACTTTCTGACAGCGATCGCACACATGCTGTTTGAATGGACAGAACTTCACATAATGCCAGGCTCCACAGTGCCAACATGGCGAGGGGGGCTTCTTCTGAACCGGTTTAGAGTGATTAGAGATAGAAACAGCGCTGGCGTTCGAACGACTCGAGTTTGTCGGTCTCGAAGATTTTTTCTGGTGCTGAACAGCATGAACTTCGGAACCACCCTGGCCCCCAGATTGAACCAAAGTGGTGTCACGCTGCAGATTGATGATACGCTGGTATTCGTCTATGATCGCATTAAGTGTCAGTGTTGGATCTTGTTCAAGGCGGTTGAGCAACCGAGTTCTGATGTCGGAGAATTTGGGTGACTGAAGACTGCATATGAGTATTAGGGACTTGAATTGGTCTTCAGTGAGGGATCTGAGCTTGAACCGTTCGCACTCACGGTTAACAACGCTGACATGGGTCAGGAAGTCATCGGACTCATTCATGATCAGTTTTAAGCAGCGATATCGAGTACTGAAGAGTGAGTGATGATCACCAAAAAGTTGGCTAAGGGACTGAATAGTGGCGTCGAATGAACGGTCGCGTGGGTTCTGCGGTAGAATGAAGTTGCAATACTTATCCAGCTCGGATGGACCAAGTTTACGGAGAAGAAGACGCACCTTCCACGAATCATCTCTGTCAACAAAGTCAACTTTGAAAAGGTCTTCATAACGTCTGAACCAGGTATCAAATGTAATGTTGGCATCAGGATCATAAAGAAATTCTGAAATACCACTGGTAATACCATCAACTGATTCAAGAATTGTCGGTGCAGTTGGGACTCGAGAAGATATATGCGTCTGAGTAATCATCTCCATCAGCTTCAGCTGCTGTTCGAACAATTTTTCTAATTTGGCTGGATCCATAGTTAATCACCAACTTGTTGCTAAATCTCCGTCGCCAAATTTATTGTGAATCGTGAGTTGGCTACTCTAAAGTCTACCGATTGACTAGCTTCAGATATCCCGGTTCGACCCCAATACTGTTCCCAATCTCCAATATATCAGAACACGAACCGTAGACGAAAAATCGTTTATGGGGTCAGGAGCAGCAGAATAATGACTTACAAACAAATGCATATTTATACAGTTAGGATTACTATAAATATTGACCAACAGAAAGATGACACGTTAAATAATATTGACCAATAGGAAAATGACACGCGAAATAAATATTGATCAGTAGGGAAACGACCAATCGGGAAATGACACCATTTAACGTTCAACGGTAGCGTTAGACTTAACCGGATAATTGTTTCTGGGATATTTTTCTGAGTATCCCAACAATAAGCATCTGTTAATTTGATAATCATTATAGTAGAATAATTATCTGAATACGTATATATTTGTATTACGTTAATCGGTCTATGAATTCTAAATATAAATTATATGTGGCATAGAATTCAGTTCATTACTGATCAATATTATTATGATAAAATGAGATAAGTTACATTACATCGAAGTTTTGTAATTCTTGTAAAAATGGTAACATAACAAGCCAATACTCTCTTATGTTAATTAAAATTGAGGTTATTAAAGGTGTAAAATATCGTTATTTTAAGAACAGTTCACATTTTATTTCTGTTCCATATCAACATGAAGCAGTAAAAGTTTAATGACACTGCAATCAACATTTAAGTATACCTTGAAATCCATGTATTTGTTTAAATCAATGTATGGATATTCATGCATGATCTAAAAACACCTTCTATCCAAAACAAATTTACGATTAAGACAAACTTAATTCATGATTATGGGTGTTAGATAGTTGAGAATGTCTAAAAAAAACAAAAACCAATATTTCAGTACGAAATCTAATGATTGGTGTAATCTTCAAACACGTTAACAACTATTATCAAAAGAATACAATATTCAGTATTTGTCAGAAGATTGATGGTTACTGTTTTTAAACAGATATTTCTTGAAATAATATCAGAAACTCTACATCATGAGCCTTGAGTCAGTGTTTTTTAGGTGCTTGCTAGCAGAAATTTATTTATATTGGTTAATACTAATACAACCGACATAGTTTTGTTGCTTTATCCCCAAACTACGACCTCACATTTTACACAAACACACTGTTTTTAATTCATATTTTTAAACCTAATCCATCTGTGGTAACTAAATAACTTAAAATAACGGTGAAATGATTCTTTTCTATAAAATTCTGAACCATTTACTATTTTTTAGGAACTTTTACTCAGAGTGTTGTGAATTGAAAGGACAGACATTCGAAAATTACTGTAGAATAACTCACACATTTCTCTTTGACTCTACAAACTACTGATATACAACAAACAACAAGAAAATTTTATTTTGAATGGTAATTTTAACTCATATTATGACAGTTTAACATGAACATTTAGATATATGCAATTAGTTGTCTAAGAGGTGTGATACACCAAGTCACTAGCTACACAAACGTGAAATATTGGCTAAGATGGAATTGTCATAAAAAGAATGGAAGTGACAAGAAAACACTTCAGATTTATAGATAACAATTATGATAATTGAAATCACAGACTAAAAATTGAATACAGCTTACCGTCACCACATTCAAACAGTCCATTAAATGCTTTTGCTGTAACAGTATGAGATCTTCAAATGTTAGTTTGGCTTTGTGAGAACTCTTACATTTATTATTTTTTTGGCTTTTTGTTGTATGTTTCTGCTGCTCATTTGAGTGTTTTCGTTTATCCATGCTTGAATCTGAGAAACTGCTCTGGCTAGCTGGGTGAATATATATAGGTAGGAATGACGGTTTGTTATTCTTGTCTTCAACACTTATTCTTTGTTCTGTTCTTTGTTGACTTTGCCGTCCATCATTAAGAGATAATGTACGATCTACTATCTTGCGTTTATTGCTTAATTTGAGACTAGAAGAATGCAAGACCTAAATAAATTGGCAGGTTTCAAAGCAAGAAATACTTTTATATCTAAGTGTTTGTAGTTTAGTCAAATTAATTACTAAAAAAATAACTACGCATATTTTAAATATTTTAACACTAGATTCATATGCTCCGCTTACAACTCAATAACCATTATTTAGTTCGCTCATAAAAGCAGGATCAAATCTTATGACATTCATTCAATAACACGTGTATGCATTCTTGAATAAAAACAACTGAGAGAAATATATCATACTTCCTCTCAAAAGAAAACCGATCATTCAGTTCTTAACCTTACATATGAGGAACAGTCTGGTAGTCGTTAGGATCATAGGTCTGAAGAGGTAGGAATTTGAGATATACGATTCTAAAAGAAATGTCCTTTCACCCGAAACAATGATAAGAAGTTAGAAATATGACACCCATGGTAAAAACACTACATTAAAGTTAGCTAAACTTCTTACTATCACGACCCACAGGTAACTTTAACCTTTAGTGAACCTTTTAATTAGTTTGTGTCTTTCATCCGTTTTTCAAATGTTTGATTTAAAGAACAGTGTATGTACAGCACTAACTATAATTTTTATCAGATGTTGACAAAGTGGACACCGAATAGTTAAATTTATCTATTACTTAAGAATAGCAATAGGTTACAGTCAAACTAACTCGCCGACTATACTTAAATCAATAACTTTTGCATAACGATTTGGATTTTTTCTTCAGACTGTAATTTGTGATCACTTTGACATTAAATTCATTTTAACTTCCATTTAGTTCAAGTTTTAACCATTTTAGAATGCAGACACCAATTTCTCCCTTACTTTAGTGACCACCTTTATTTACACCTATAATAGACACATTTTCAGGTCTATAATTTGTTGATTTATAATAGTCGACATCAAGTGTGTTGGTACACACAGAAAGAAGTATTGTCGAGGAACCTGAACAGATAAGAGAAAAAATTTATTCACTAACTTCGACCCATTATTTCTATATCACTTGTTAATTATTTTTTCATAAATGTTCACACTGATCAACTGTAAACAATTTAGAAATATAACTAATTATTTACTGCCCATTATTCAGTGTTTTGCGATTGTAGAATAATCCATTCTCAATTTATATATAAACAGACAAGCCACAATTACCGATATTATTATTTTACATGACTATATATTGTTATTCCTTCATCGTCTATTCTAGTTACGTTTCCTCATAGATCCCTGGATGGTGATCATACATGATACACAATCATACCTAGAACAAATAATTGTACGCGAAAATCATTAAAACAATGTTTTAAAAACTGAAAGTGAACTACAATACATATTAATCAAAGTATTAACTTACTTTACCGTGCGTTTGTTTTACTAAATGATGGTTATTCCTCCCTGATAAATTATTTGTTTCATATAGTTTGTCTTTCTTGACAATTATATGACCTGAACCAGGAGAAGTATCTTTCGCTACTCCAGAGACTAATTGATTAAATGTTGGAAGATTATGTTCAAACTTTTGATTCATATTATCTAATTCTGAATAATCTGTTTTAACGCATGATTCATTAACAAGGTTCTTTTTTTTATTTTTTAATAAGGTTAATGAGCCACTTCGAGTTAAATTTGAATGATGACTGATTGTTAGATCACTGCCTGTTGAATTTCTTGATGTATCATAACTTTGATCTTTACCTGTTGACTGATTAGCATTTATTATTGACGCGGGTGAAGTAGATGAGTATGATGTGGTTGTTTTGACTTCGAAATAGGCGGATTTCTTTGTTTCATTATCACAATCGTAATCTTCATCAACTGACGGCTCTGGACTTCCGGATTTTTCTGCACAAGCATTAACAGTTGCCATGAGTTGAGCTAATCTTATTCTTGCCTGTCTGGCACGCTAATAGATTAGATAGGAAGTGAATCAAATACAGAATTAATTCAATTTTGTCCCGCAAGTCAAAATGATATAAAGTTAAAGATGTTCAGATACTCGACAAAAACAGTATAACAACCATCATACCTTTAGGTTTTATTTATTAGTTCATGTTCACAGTAGAAACCTAATTCTGTCAACAAAATGGTGTCACTTTTAATGGCGTTTTATAACCCTGTATAAATTCATTACCTATAATGCTGAAATATATATGTATTGTTTTACGCGAAATTTCCCAAAATAAAATAGGAAATTACAAAGGAACCCAATTATATGGTTGATGTTGAAAATGGTATGATAGGTTATCATTGTATTAGAATACATTTAAAAGCCTACAGTCTGCATAATTGTTATCTGTTTAATAACAGTAAGATCTCGCAATTACACTATCACTAGTTCAGATAGAAATTTTAACGTAGTTATAGCGTTTGATAATTTGTTTCCCATCACAATACACCTTTAAATAATTTAGCGAAAATAGTGTGCACTTGGGCATTTTGGGCAAATATTTCGGTAACATTTAAATTAATCACGATATTTTAAATATTTGTGGTCACATCCTCACAGTAGTATACATGTCAGCCATCATTTCTAAATTAATTCCACCTGTTTATATCCCATGTGCACTTTTATCACTAAAGTAGATTATTTTCTATGTAATGAAATGATATATTTGTAAATATAATGAAAGATGAAGGCCAATGTATTGCTGAAGATTTAAACGTATTTCTACCATATGTTAAACTGTTTGACCTAAAGTTTTGTAAGGTCACACTGAAACAGAAATCCGATTTGTGTCACTGTAATAAAGCTTAAATATTGATTGAATTGATCTGTTTAATATAGTCGTTAAACGGTAATTACACTAAGCAAAATGAAGACGTTTCAATGAAAAAAATTCTTTCCTTTAATCGTGTTCAATAGCCAATCAATTCGGACGTCCTGCTTCTTAAAATTTTCCTGTAACTTTTGAACTAGCTGAATATAAACATACATTGTTTTAACTACAGTGTTTTTGTACTTACATTTGTCTACTGAAGTCTTTGTCCAGTTCGACAGTGAAATTAGCAGACAATTTTGTGAAAATGAACTTGTGAAATATAACAGATTAAGTAAAAAAAAGTATAGAGGTTTTGTATGCTAATAAGTTCAATTTGCAACTTAGTCATCAGTTTATTTCGAGATCTTTCAAATTAAATAAATATTTATGAATAGAAGGCATATAACTAAATAAAAAGAAAACATAATTTTTTCCCAATCACTGGTGATGATATGCTTAAAGTATATCAGCCTTTTATAATTTATCCTACAGTAAAATGAGTGTTGAAAACTTTAGGAAAACCTGTTTATAATCGCTAATGTAATTTACGAATTATTCTCCTCTGAATATACCAAATCCAAAACCATGCCTCCTAGACTTACTTTTTGTGCCTGTCTTTTATCAGATCTTTGACTTTGATTATAAATACGAGAGAAGTTTGATACAATAACGGGAACAGGTAAAGCAATTACAAGCACTCCAGAAAGTGAACACATACCACCAACAATTTTTCCAACTATTGTCTCTGGAACCATATCTCCATAACTGATAAAAAACAAACAAAAGTTACCGATATTTTATTACGTGCTCGGACAGATCACAGAACCTCAGCTACACTTCAGTCTGAATATATTTAACTTTATTAAGCCCTTCAACAGAATTGTCATTCGGTCAGTAACAAATTGTCTATATACTTGTATGATTATCATGTTTGTGTGAGCATGTATTCTTGAACATGGGTTAGAGCTTACACGCATATCTTACCAGCATAAGTGTTAGTTACTTAAATTATTTGATGACTGATTTCGTTCCCCATATACATGGTTCTTAAATCCAATATCTTAGTCGTAATCGTTCGCATTCATTCCTATTCGCACCAATGTTCGTATTCACTTTAAGTGTTTGTAATTTTGTGATCTAGGCTGTACAGTAATGAGCTTCAGTTAACGCTTCGTATTATCTTCCAAAATATAATCACCGTTGAGAGCTTTCTAAAATTGACCATTAGAAAAAATTATATACAAAGCATAGGAATTATGTCGAAGGAATTCCACTACAAAGTTAGTTAAAGTACTCTATTATGCTTAAGACCAGTAATATAACGGATATAGTGGGATGATTTTGGAATTTGTGTACAAAAACCAGACAGTTCAAACCAAGTAACTTATACTGGTATAATGATATTGTTTGAATGTAGACATGAAGATAAATTCCTCTAAAACTCAGATATTAAAGCTGTACAGAAATGTCAAATATGATTACAATGAAGTATAATGTATCAACTAAACAAACAGCTAATCTCATGAAAGAATTATATCACGATTTACCTAATACTCATTAAGGTTGGAGACGTCTATGGATTTATATTATTTACCACCATAATTCAGTAAATTTAATTTACAATACTCCTTACTAACTGTATTTTGCCTTACAATTAAGGATTTAGGAAAACATGGTCTGTAAACCATATAAAGTACAATACCAACATAGACAAAAGAAAACAATTATTTGAAATGATATACTCTTGGGAAAAATACCATCTTTGAGCTTTAGTTTTTCTTAATGATATGATTGACTTTCATGAGGAAATCTGAAGAAACACTGGACAAATGGACAAATAGCATTACAAAAGTACAATACAACCATCCTACAAGTTACTAACAAACTAAACAAATTCAAGATAACTCTCAACAACATGCTCCAAGCCTTACAACATCTACTACAACAAGAAGAAATTATGATGGAAGACAACTGGAAAGCGATCAAAGAAGCACCAACTTCAACGAGTCAGGAGGTGTTAGGCAACAACAAGCATCATCACAAGGAACAGATCTCTATCAAAATCCCGAACAAGATTCAGAAAATGAGGAAAAGAAAACACCACTTAAAAACAACCGAACAGGAACCACGATAGTCAAGATACAAGCTACATACACACAAGCATGAAAACAAGTGAAGAAGAGCATTATAGCCGACAATCACAAATACGTGGAAATGCTAGCAAAAACAGCAGAAAAGGCTGAATTGGAAGGAAATATGAAACAACTATATGACACGACGAAGAAACCAGAGGGGAAATATAGTAAAATAGAATGATCGGTCAAGGACAAGGAATGCAAGCCAATCACCGAGATTCAACAACAGAGGAACAAATGAGTAGAACACGTCGAGGAACTCTTCAATAGACCAGCTACACTTAATCCATCGAACATCAAAGCAGCACACACTGACCTCCCTAAAGATATCACTCCACCAACGAACGAACAAATCAGGATGGCCAGTCATCGGAAAAATCAAGAGTGGGAAAACAGAACTACCTGAAAACATACCAGTTGAAACATTCAAGTCACACATAGAAACAACTGCAAGTATACTTCACTTTCCATTCAGGAAGATTTGGAACGAAAATCAAGTGTATACAGACTGAAAAGACGGACACCTCATCAAGATACCAAAGAAATTGGATCTGAGCAAGTGTGAGAACTACTGAGGCATCACACTACTGTCAGTGCCAACAAACGTTTTCCACAGTGTCGCCGAACCGAATGAAAGACTCAATAGACGTCCAACTTCGAGATCAACTGACTGGATTCCGTGAGGATCGATCGTGCACAGACCGAATCGCGATACTACAGATGATCACCATTAAACAATCAGTTGAGTGGAATTCATCACTATACATCAAGCTCATTGACTATGAGAAAGCACTCGACATTGTGGGTGGGAGAACATTATGGAAACTTCTTCGACACTGAGGATTACCTGAAAAAATCTTCAACGTCAACCGGAATTCATACAATGGACTACAGTGCACAGTGGTGCATGGATGACAATTCACAGATGCATCGCAAGTGAGGACTGGAGTCAGACAAGTCTGCTTACCCCCCCCCACTCAACATACACAAGGGAAAATGCAACATCCTCAAATACAATACGGAGAATACCAAAACAATCACACTTGATGGAGAAACTCTGGAACAAGTGGAAACATTCACTTGTCTGGTTAACAAAATCCACCAACCAGCACGATCTGATTCAGACGTGAAGACGAGGACTGGTGAAGCATCAGTAGCATTCCCACAATTCCTACAACAACATATGCAACTCGAAACAACTGTCAATCAATATCGAAATCACAATCTTCAATACGAATGTCAAAACAATCACTTCTACTGTACGGAGCTGAAACGCACAGAACCACTACAACCATCATCACAATCATACAAGTATTTCTAAACAATTGTCTATGCAAGAAACTCCAGATCCGTTGGTCGGACACCATAAACAACAACCTACTGTGGGAGAGGACAAACCAGATTCCATCTGAAGAGGAAATTAGGAAACAACGTTGGAAGTGGATAGGACATTCATTACGAAAGTCACCAAACTGCATCATGGGGCAAGCGCTAACTTGAATGCTGAAGAAAAACGGTAAAGAGGAAGGCTATTGGACACACTACATCGAGGATTGGAACCAGACATGAAAAGGCTGAATAGGAACTGTGAAGAACTGTAAACGATAGTCCAGTATAGGGTTGGATGGAGATTGCTGGCGGACGACCTATGCTCCTCGACGAGGGTGAGCAGGCATAAGGAAGTAATATTTATTCAAGCTATTATTTAGTAACAAGGAGAAAAAATGAAAGCAAACAATAATGCATCATATTCTATGAACATTGATTTATGTTTGATACGGCATATCATTTACGTTCAGCTTGCTCTAATTACTATGCATTTAGTACCTTGAAAGTTATACGTGTACTTATAAACCACAAAATGCATTACTGGCTTTTCTGCTTCACAGAAAAATAAGATTAACAAATAAAATCTAACATACAATGCATTTCCCCCACTGAAGTCATCTAACTCAATTCGGACAGATATATATAGAAAGAATAAATTAATGAGGAAATGTTTCTATATACAAAGTAGGTTATCTATGATTTCTTTATTTCCAAATTTAAGGATACTAAAGCTCACATTTAGGTCAAATATCGAATAAGTATGTAAACAATATTTACTATGAATTTACGAATCACACAATATCTTTTATTATTAAACAATTCAATCTTTTTCAGTTCTAAACATCACTTGAAAGACCAGATTTTTCCTTGAGGATAAAACACATAAGTAATAAGAAATATGATACCCAAATAGTCAAAAATGATTATTGACGATATTTATAAGAATATTCTATAATTTGTCAATAAATTCAGCATATTAAATGAAGTTGTTTTAATATGGTAGAACACAAATATTACCATCGTATTCTTTTCACTGCACTGCTGCATATACTTCACATGTCATCTTTATAACTTCGTGGATTGATTGAGGTTAGACATTAGCGCCATTGGATGCCGGCTCGGTGGTCCAGTAGGTTAAGCGATCGCGCGCGAGACTGAAGGCCCTGGGTTCGAATCCCGCGGCGGGATCGTGGATGTGCACTGCTGAAAAGTCCCACAATAGGACGAAACGGCCGTCCAGTGCTTCCAGGTTTTCAGTGGTGGTCTAACATCAGTCGGTTCACGATCTCAATCAGAAACTTAACAATCTCCACAACCCCTAAACTGATAACTTTATAACTGCTGTATTTAAAACCTACTTAAAATATTTCAAGGGGGACAAAATCTCAGCTGGATGCAAACAAAGCGTAACTGATAAATTGATCTTAAAACTAACCTTGTGGACAAAAAACAAAAACATGTTCCTATCACAACACTATCCCTTAGATTTCTCAACGACAGCAAATTAAACTGTTAATTTTTTTCATCGAATCTTCGTTGTTTAATCTCAAAGATGTCCACCGAGAACTAGAGTAAGATCTTTGCTTCTACACCGCCTCTCTCTTAATATACTCCTATTCTTAAAAAGAAATTAAAACGTAACAATCATATTTTCTCAGGGATGAAAATTTCCTTTACTAGTAATTCCTAAGCTTTCCATTATAATCTAACCAGTAATGTATTGAATAGCTGAACTTTCAATTGATACCAAATTGATAAAGGAAGCAATATCATGAAATTACCTGGTGTCACCCTTTACATTCAGTGGGAACAATTCACACTAAGTTAATCCTTTAAAATCAAAGTAGAAATAACTAAAGGACGAAATAAAAATTGGCCTACAAAAATTATGTATAAAAGTTTCATGACAAACACCACTCGCTAACCGTCTTTATTTAAAATTATTTATGTAAACTTACCCAAGTGTAGTCATAGTGACGATAGTATACCAAAATGATGATGGAATACTGGAAAAGGTGGTCCCTTCAACCGATTTTTCAGCATAATACATAACAGTAGCAAAAATAATAATAACCATTGTTAGACTAAATAGAAGAAAGCCCAGTTCTGATGCACATGACTTCAAAGTGTAGCCGAGTATTCGTAAACCAACACTGTGACGAGAAAACTTGAACACTCTAAATACTCGAAATACTCGTAACGTTGTAAACACACCAGAAACGCTCTGTAATAAAAAGAAAAATATATGTTTGTCAATCTGATCGCTAGTCTGACTTATAGCGTTTCAGTGAATCAATATAACTTTAATCATTAGACGAAACAGAGAATGTATTTGTGATAATATTTATTAATGCTTTAAGTTACAAAGTTCAAATGAAGTGTGGAGGTTCGGTGAAACTAGTTAACTGTTTATTTTGCATTGATGAGGTCGAATAATAGACGTAACGGTTTTTTATCGTCTGACAAGCACTTAATCAAATGATGTGATTCAAATAAACCATACTTTATTTAATCCAATCACCTGTTCCACAGTAATTAAAACGGTTTTACAAAAAATTATGTAAATACCTTGACTTTTTAAATAAAAAGCTGAATCCATGCATAATTAAACAGCTTTTAAAGTATATAAATTACATCCGGTTTAATTGAGATCTTTCACGATTGCTCAACAAAATCAATATATTTAGAGAAAAAGAATACCGAAATTATAAACAGATCATAATTATATTTTTATGATTAAATAATACTTTTCAAAATTAAACATTATTATAGCGAAACAAGTAAGCACTGAAGATGCATCCTAGATCTTTTTTTTGGTGCAACAAAATACATTTCAATAAAAAGTCAAAATTCAGAGGAGATTTTTTCCTAACTAAACTTTCGTTGTAGGCGGCATGGACATTCATATAGTTTCAGAAAAGTTTTAAAATAAAATTTTAAAATCCAACCAAATTGTTTACATCATATAAAATAGTAAAAAGGCTATTATTTGTTAATTAACATTCAACAGATATTATATTTATCAGGAAAGTCCCATGTCATAAATCACTCTGTCCAGAAACTTAGTATTTGATATGAACACTATTATCAACAGTTTCGAGTATAATTTAGATTAACATTATCCTAATCTCTTACATAATCGATGGAGAATAATCAAGATTTTTTATAAAGCTGCAGTTCATGAAGAGATTTCTAATGAGAAGTAAGAAGATAATGTTTTAAGCTATTTCGATTACAAATTATGTATTATATAAAGATAATATAAATTGGTAGCAGTGCTGTACGTAATTTTGTGTGGTTTATGGTTTAGCTTGCACCATTTCATAATTTCAACATCGAACAAATTGAACGAATTTATGATAAGTAAAAACTATTATCTCTATTTTCATTAAATTTCTAAATTACTGAATAGCCTACTATTAACTAGAATAAGAACATTAACTAGGCGTTATACTATTGGCATTAGCCGTAGTTTTCGAATGGCTTACACAAAATTATGTAAACGTGTAGCACACATGATGCTTGCATATAGAAGCATAATGAATTATTGGAGCATCTATTTTAATTATGGTATCTTTACTGGCATTCCATTCTACAATACAGTTTCTGATTCAGGTAAACAAATTGCTTATAAAAACACATAAGAGTAGTGAAGTTATTACGCTAATTCAAAGATTTTAGAAAAAGCATTCCAACTACACTCCCATCGCTTTATGCTACATATATATATATATATGCAAGTTCCGAAAGAAGTAATGTGAATGTGAAAAAATAAGAATGGTAGTAAAATGAAATGGAATAAAACTATTTCACTTAAAAATCAATCACTAATAACAGTTTCTTACATTACTTGTTTTTTGTAGATGTTCAAAGTGACTAGTGTTTTTAAACATATTTCTTAAACGTATTTATCAACTCACATATACTTGATAAAGGTGACATCAATGAATATCAACACAGAGTCATAGAAAATATTATCTTCCAAATAGACTTACAAATTCATGTAAAATTGCTTCGAATAAAAGTCACTTTATAAAAAGATGTATTTGGGAATTTATAAAAATTGTAAATATGAAATTTTAAGTTAATAAATGACCGATAAGGATACCAACAAGTGCAAGTTTAATTTCTCTAATTAAAATAAAAATTTCATATAAGTAAAAACATTTGAATGATGTGATTATGCAATTAACTAATACAAATCACTTAACAGTTCATTCATTATGGTAATGGTAATATTAATCCATTAAAAGATCTCAGAAGTTACTCGTAATTTAATCTTTGCTAGGATATAACAACTACTTGTTTTTAAAGCATAACATTCAAATTATAAATGTTAAATATCCATAACCAAATCACTTGCTGTAATTCTATGCTTCATAACTTTTAAATGGTATACTTGATAGTTAATACAAATACTCCAAAGTTTTATTTTCACAAGCTCTTTCTGACCAAACTTTATAACTGAGTTGCAGTAGAACATTGAAAAAATTAGATTTAATCTGAACAATTTGTTTGTTTTACAAAATATTAAATTGAAAATATAACCGATATAAATGATTGTGTTGGTTTAAATTTTTGTCGGGAAATGTATTATGCAATCTGCTAAAATGTCAAGATTTTCAAAGCAACTAACTTTTAACGTGATCTGACAATCATAAAGTATAAATGTTTTGTAAAATGTCGAACCTAAGACATTTTTACAGAAACTAATTAAATCTATGATACTATTTTTGTTTTTATCATTATAATTGATGCATTGAAAAAAAACTGACTTTTTATTATGTTTAATTCCGTGCTATACAAATTTAAGACATGAAATGAAAGTTATTTATAGGAGATTTGAAAACCCTGAAACTTTTCAACAGTGTGGTCATATTTAAAACATCAGTCAATTTTCATTTCTATGAATCATTAGACAATATTCATTTAAAAAATGTAACTAACAGTCTGTCTTCGTAACTACTAAATAATAAAATCTTGGTTACCTGTGAAAATATGAAAGTCTTAGTTACAACACTGTATTTAGTTTGATAGTTAAAGAGCTATTATTCTAATGGCTGCCGAATATTTCGCTGAAGTAATTTACTGGTTTTATTATGGACAGTGTGTTCTAGTTAATATAATTTGAACAAAAAGATAATTAATTTCTTTATAATAATGTTCAATTAAATAACATTGTTCAGTTAAGTTTTGCCCTTTGTCTATTGAAATTATTTTAGCATCCACTAACTACATTTAACCATCTGCTAACAATCGGTGTTTTCTGAGAATTAGGTAATCATGGTCACAAAACCATCTCACTATCCTACTAAAATAATCACTTTCAGTATTGTACTAGCAAGAATATTTAAAGGATATCTAAGTACTTTGGCTGGTGACAATCATAGATACCAATTCTTTCATTAAATATCATACTATCCGGCATATATTCACTTATCACCTTTTTCTTTGAACCGAACATGGTGTAATTGACTTGATTTTATTAGAATGAAATAAACTCTGCTCATAGTTCTTTTAAAATAGGAGATTTAAAGTAGAACTCTGTTATCCCTGATTCTAACAACGCTTTCAGTCAAAATTTTAAACTATGATAGAGAACCAGCTATTAAGTATTTTATCGTTAAACTGATAAAAGACTATTTAAGATGATTTGTTGTCATCGTGAAGTTGAATCACAAAACCATTTTTTTATTAAGTGACACAATCCTGTTTCATACAAATTTTACTGATGTAAATGATTATTCAAGAACCTCTTTAAAGTTTTAGTAGAAAACTGCACGAGTAGCTTAAATACTACTATTTGTTTTACTTATTTGCTTTACTTTTGTTAATTTATTCTTTCACTGTGTTGATTTAAAGTGTGGTAATATAAATTCATTTCCATCTGCTCCAGTTCCTACATTGATAATAACCGAATGAAGTACTTCATACGTCAGGTTTTAGACTTAAATGAATAGTGATACAAGATCCGGTCTTTAAAATATTAATAATTTGTTACTATTTTCCTGTGCATTTCTGGTTCGGTGTCTTTAGATCACTTGTCTCATTCCTCCAATACCATAAGCTTACATTACCAAATCAGTATTCTTATTTGAACAGTAAAAATGACTTATCCAACTGGCGTGTAAAAACGTTAAGTATATTTATAGTTTAGATAAATTAATTTATTTTATCCATTAACTTAACCATTGTCTGACAGCCTACTTGATCACAATATGGGTGTGAATATCGCACTTCACAATATTATGCAAATACCAATAATTCAAATACATTCATCTAATGGACTGATATTTTGATCTAATTATAAAGGTAACTACATACAGATGAAGTCTCTATTCCTTTTAAGTGTAACAATATTAAGTGATGAGAGTGTAAGTGAGTTCCATATCTGGATATATATATAATTACTGAGCAAAAGATCAAGGTAATTTTTGTAACATAATGTATGTTAAATGGATGTTGTTTACAATCAGAAAGCCGGTTACCATGAGAACCGAAAATAGATGACAAACAGGTATTACGTATTTAATTAATATTTACTGAAGACTGACTGAATTTTGACACTAACTAACAAACAATGGTTGCTTGCTTTGATCAATATGAAGTTAAAACTCTCAAGCATCTAGAAAGTTTCTGTAAATGAACTCTCAGTAAAAGACATTCAACGATGAAAAATAGAATATCAAATGTTATACTCTGTTATATAGTAAATTATATTTTCATGAAAAACTGGAGGTTTGGTTGATTTAGAGATACAGCATTCTGTATTTAAAAGTAAAAGCAAAAGTGATATGAAAGCATATGTACAAAAAGACAGTATAAGAAAGTTATGAGAGCCGAATAAAAGGACTTGAAATGACGGACCATACCAGTTGGGGATTCATCTAGATAGTTGTAAGTAATAGCAAACTATTTATAAATACGTATGTAATTACCTGATTAAATCAGTTTAGGCCACATCCTGCGCATACAAATAAAGAAACCATATTTCAGCAAATACGATATATTCATAAACCAGCGGTCAATCAATTTGTTTCTTGATGAGTGCTTAGTTTGTTAACTGTGAACTATCAGTACTTGAGTATTTTAAGTCGACAGAATAAGAATTTTGATAAAGGGAGAAAAACGATGGAAGAAGTTGACTTAGTAGTTATGAAGTTACGCTAAATTAGCTAGTAGACAATAAGTATTCATCACGAATGTCATTCTGTCAACATATTA